GTATGTATAGACACCTTTAATATAATAATGTTTCTATATTGTTTAACAACTGTATGTATAGACACCTTTAATATAACAATATTTCTTCACTTATCAACTGTTCATATACTTTAGTATAACAATAATTCTTTAACCTACTGTATATGGATGAAAGTCAAATTAAGCTTGTCAGAACATTTTACAGAGTGTAATTCAGTGTAGTGTTTTAGTATTTGATGTCTGAGTTATAAATTGTTCTATTAATATTTTCCTACATTTGGTAATTTAGTAATAGTTCATAATAGAGAAGAGTAAATATCAGATTCATTGTACAGGTATACTGAAGAAACTGTAGATGAGAGTTTTAGAGGTTATATGCTATCTGATTGATGTACAAATGTATTTTATTCTTCATGTGGACATCATCTTGCACTATGCCTTTTCAGTCTGAAGTCATCAGTTTACAGATATACCTTAAGCACAATAACACTTTATTAATCCATATCTCTACACCAGCTTGTACTCTATATTAAAACAAGATTAAACCATTAGTATCATTCCTGGTCTGTACAAAAACAATATTTAAACAATTATCATCATTCGTGGTCTGTACTAAAACAAGATTAAACAATTAGTATCATTCCTGATCTCTACAAAAACAATATTTAAACAGTTATGATCATTCTTGGTCTGTACTAAAACAAAATTTAAACTATTATCATCATTCCTGATCTGTACTAAAACGAGATTTAAACAATTATCATCATTCATGGTCTGTACTAAAACAAAATTAAATAATTAGTATCATTCCTGATCTGTACTAAAACAAGATTTAAACAATTATCATCATTCATGGTCTGTACTAAAACAAGATTTAAACAATTAGTATCATTCCTGATCTCTACAAAAACAATATTTAAACAGTTATCATCATTCATGGTCTGTACTAAAACAAAATTTAAACTATTATCATCATTCCTGATCTGTACTAAAACGAGATTTAAACAATTATCATCATTCATGGTCTGTACTAAAACAAGATTAAACAATTAGTATTATTCCTGATCTGTATTAAAACAATATTTAAACAATTATTATCATTCATGGTCTGTACTAAAACAAGATTAAACAATTAGTATCATTCCTGATCTTTACAAAAACAAGATTAAACAATTAGTATCATTCCTGATCTCTACAAAAACAAGATTTAAACAGTTATCATCATTCCTGATCTGTACTAAAACGAGATTTAAACAATTATCATCATTCATGGTCTGTACTAAAACAACATTAAACAATTAGTATCATTCCTGATCTCTACAAAAACAAGATTTAAACAGTTATCATCATTCATGGTCTATACTAAAACAAAATTTAAACAATTAGTATCATTCCTGATCTCTACAAAAACAATATTTAAACAGTTATCATCATTCATGGTCTATACTAAAACAAAATTTAAACAATTATCATCATTCATGGTCTATACTAAAACAAGATTTAAACAGTTATCATCATTCCTGATATGTACTAAAACAAAATTTAAACAATTATCATCATTCATGGTCTATACTAAAACAAGATTTAAACAATTATCATCATTCCTAATATGTACTAAAACGAGATTTAAACAATTATCATCATTCATGGTCTGTACTAAAACAAAATTTAAACAATTATCATTCATGGTCTGTACTAAAACAAGATTAAACAATTAGTATCCTTCCTGATCTGTAGAAAAACAAGATTTAAACAATTATCACTCATGATCTATGCTAAAACAAGATTTAAACCATTAGTATCATTCATGGTCTGTACTGAAACAAAAGTCTCCCGCGATAAGTCTACGGATTTATAATGCTAAAATCAGGGGCTCGGTAGACACAGCATATAGCTGGATGTGTCTTTACTCTAAGAACAAAAGAAGTGTCATGGCATAGCTTGGTGGTGTATCACGACATTATACTGTCGGCAAATAATTATTCTAAAAAAATCATTTCCTAGCACAGTGAACGACTTTATTCTCAAAAATTAAAACTGACCAACAGCACATAGGTACAAATAATTATGTTCTCAAGATATTTCCTAGCACAGTGAACGATTCTAAAAACAGAATAATAAAGTACTTGAATAATTTGATGGGAAAAAAGGCTATCACTATATAGCAAGTATGTGCACCATAATTCATGTTTACACGGGTACAAATTCTATGACGTAATCTTCGTGTTAAAGGTTTTTTTGACGTGATATAATAATTTTTATACATGCAGAAAACCTTAATATGAAATAATTATTTACTGCATCCATTTGCAGGCAGTAGAATGTCGTAGAACCGCCTGGTGGTTAGGGCACTCGTCTCGCAATCTGAGGGTTCGAATCCCCATTACACCAAACATGTACGCTCTTTCATTTTCAAAATTAGTGTCTTTCATGGGTTATACTAAACAAGATTAGTGTCATTAATGATAAACATTTGAACGGAATTTTTCAAAACTAGTGTCAACAAATAATTGTATTAAAATAAGACTTAGTGTCATTCCCGGTCTATACTATGGCATAATTTACAATATTAGTGTCATTAATTAACTTTAATAGAGATGTATTTAATAAAAATATGTACCATTCCTGATGCATACTAAATAATATTTAAAAAACTATCGTAACGACAGAGAAAAGTATTAATTTTAAATACCAGAAGCTCAATGTTCGTTATATTAGTAAATAACAATTTCACACATGTAATGAAGAGGCTCTGCACACCAGATGTCGTTCCAGTTCATGTTGTATTTCTCCCACATATGGGCACAGTCTCCATCAGTTCTCGGCTCCCCCGTGTACCAGGAAGTGAATCCTTGTTCATACTGCCATACACCATTCACTTTATGTACATCAACCCACGTGTTGGAAGGAGGAGAGATCAAAGTCTTCAGAAAGTTGTGGGTAGCCAGATCAGGAACTCGAGCTAAACGGGCGCCATCTAAAGCACAGGCGGCAACGGCTTGAGGCTCCGTTTTAGCCACTCGATAGTGTTTAAAGTAGGAGCCATTATAAAAGTGATATCCTTCAGGAGCTGATAAAATACAAGTTTTGGTTTATTTACACAATATACCGTCAGTAAACTATATTATTATCATCGATAGTATTACAAGACCAACATAAACTAAACATTAAAAGTATAGGATAATAGCATGAGAATAACAACTATGTTAATTTAAGACTATTTAATGGGAATTGTGGTAACATTAGATGGACAAATACCGTTAGAACAATACAATAACATGTACAGTACGTGGTAAAAATACCGTTAGAATAATACAATAACCTGTACGGTACGTGGTAAAAATACCATTAGAACAATACAATAACCTGTACGGTACTTGGTAAAATACCGTTAGAACAATAAAATAACCTGTACAGTACGTGGTAAAAATACCGTGAGAACAATACCATAACCTGTGCAGTACGTGATAAAAATACCGTTAGAACAATACAATAACGTGTACAGTACGTGGTAAAAATACCATGACAACAGTAGGGTAGTTTGTGCGATATACAAGTCCTTGATTTACAGTTGTAAATTATTTGAAAATAGTTCTTCATTGGATGTAATGCAAAAATAAAAATATGAATTTTACATTAAATTAAGGTTACATTTTAATCATTAGAAGTAATTACTGAACTAGATTTACGTTTTGAACGTCAAAAATGAAGACTTACACGCACGTTTACAGCATCTGAAATGAAGATTGAATTATCCTTACATTTCACACATCTGAAATGCAGCTTGAATTATCCTTACATTTCACACATCTGAAATGCAGCTTGAATTATCCCTACATTTCACACATCTGACATACAGATTGAATTATCCTTACATTTCACACATCTGAAATGCAGCTTGAATTATCCCTACATCTCACACATCTGACATACAGATTGAATTATCCTTACATTTCACACATCTGAAATGCAGCTTGAACTATCCTTACATTTCACACATCTGAAATGCAGCTTGAATTATCCCTACATTTCACACATCTGAAATGCAGCTTGAATTATCCTTACATTTCACACATCTGAAATGCAGCTTGAACTATCCCTACATTTCACACATCTGAAATACAGAATGAATTATATCTACATTTCACACATCTGAAATGCAGCTTGAATTATCCCTACATTTCACACATCTGAAATGCAGCTTGAATTATCCTTACATTTCACACATCTGAAATGCAGCTTGAACTATCCCTACATTTCACACATCTGAAATACAGAATGAATTATATCTACATTTCACACATCTGAAATGCAGCTTAATTTATCCCTACATTTCACACAATAGAAATACAGATTGAATTACACTACTTTTCAAACATCAGAAATACTGACTGATTTAGATAGGCGTTTCAAACGTCTGAATTGTAGACTGAATCTTTAACATTTATACTGCAAATTGAATCATACATAAGTTTCAAATGTAAGAGAAACCTGATTTAATTCCGACTTACGTGTCTCGCACCTGCTTCCGGTAAACCCAACCAGACAAGTACAGCTGTTTAGACCCATGGGGTTGTTTTGGCAGGTACCTCCGTTTGTACACAAACCCTCTTCACAGCCAATCTTCATCAACGACAGAAAAAAATCCTTAACAATGTCAGTCGAGTGTTTGCTAGTATTATGTTATATTCACCAACCTTTAATATTAGTCACATTGTAAAAATCCTTAACAATGTCAGTCGAGTGTTTACTAGTATTATGTTATATTCACCAACCTTTAATATTAGTCACATTGTAAAAATCCTTAACAATGTCAGTCAGTGTTTACTAGTATTATGTTATATTCACCAACCTTTGATATTCTTCACATTGTAAAGATCCTTAACAATGTCAGTCGAGTGTTTACTAGTATTATGTTATATTCACCAACCTTTCATATTAGTCACATTGTAAAAATCCTTAACAATGTCGGTCGAGTGTTTACTAGTATTATGTTATATTCACTAACCTTTAATATTAGTCACATTGTAAAAATCATTAACAATGTCAGTCGAGTGTTTACTAGTATTATGTTATATTCACTAACCTTGAATATTAGTCACATTGTAAAAATATAGAATCCTGGGTTAGAGAATTTTAAAAAGTCGCACGTGGACCTTTAAATATATAGAATAAGTATTTTTCGTCTCCAAAATTCAATCAAAAAGCATTATTTATCAATGAGATAACAACATACATTTTTATTAAACCTAGTAATTACTGAAACAAACTGTTTCTCTCCGTGTTAGTTAACTAAAAGCGCTCGACATTTTAGACTATAAGGGCCATAGAACTGTGACATTTAACCCTTATATTCGGTTAACTAGAAGTTAAGGAGTGGCTGCCCTCTGGTCAGTAGCTTTAAATTAAAATGGCTATATATGAATCTTGGGGTCTCTCTTCTGACCGTTTAGCCAATGTGTTGAATATGGTGCCGTTCAGGTGGAACTTTACGAAATACCTTAATCAGGTCAGAGATTCAGTGTGAGACGCTCGCGCCTCTCGCGTCTTCATCAGTAGATCTTTGACCTATCGATCACTGATAAAGTTGTCAATCACTTTACGTCATCACTCACATTAGTATATCTAGAGCATGGCTATGAGAATACTGAAATATTATCATCGAAATAATTATTCTTCAACTTGCTATTTAAAATCAGTTCTGCGCTTAGTCGACGAGCTATATTATAAGGACTTGGGGTTGGTAATATAACTAAAACATTAGCTATAATAAAACACAGCTGACTGTCTAAGTAGAAACATTAGCTATAATAAAACACAGCTGACTGTCTAAGTAGAAACACTAGCTATAATAAAACACAGCTGACTGTCTAAGTAGAAATACTAGCCATAAGTAAACACAGTTGACTGTCTAAGTAGAAACACTAGCTATAATAAAACACAGCTGACTGTTAAAGTAGAAACACTAGCTATAAGTAAACACAGCTGAGTGTCTAAGTAGAAACACTAGCTGTAATAAAACACAGCTGACTGTCTAAGTAGAAATACTAGCCATAAGTAAACGCAGCTGATTATCCGAGTAGAAACACTAGCTATAAGTAAACGAAGCTGAGTGTCCGAGTTGAAACACTAGCTATAAGTAAACGTAGCTGAGTGTTTGAGTTGAAACACTAGCTAAAAATAAACTTAGCTGAGTGTATGAGTTGAAACACTAGCTATAAGTAA